GATCTGCACATAAGCTATATGAATTGTCTAATTCTGGTAAGATTATAAAATAAAATAAGGATGACAGAGATCTTAAAAGTCGTATAGATGAAGTAGACGAATGTGATATAAAAGAAATTAGTTTATTAAATAAAAATGCACTTTAATGTTTTGGATAAGATTTTATATAATTTATTTCAATCGTGTCTTCTAACATAATAAGTTACAACATTTTGAATTTATAAGTTTTATTTTGTTTTCAATTTTACACTTATACGTTTCTCTATCATGGAATATAAGCATTTGTATTTATGTATCTAATCAGAGATAATAGACAATGTATAGTATTAATTTATCTCAATATTAATTTTATCTCCTCTTATTATTTTCTTAAACTCCTATCATTTATCAAATACACTACGTTCAATGTATTGGGGAACCTTTAGCTCATTTTTATCAATTAAATAATATTTTGCGATTTAATTTTTGTTTGTATGATTGCAACTTAAAAATTTAATTGTATTTACCGTCATTCGTTACAAATTCTAACAACAATATAAAATTATAAAAAAAGATTCGATTCTTTAATTTATTTGAAAAGTTTTATGACATATAAATATAGTTTTATTTGAGTCTAGTGTGTTTAATTTCATAACCAAAATACAAAAAATACACTATAACTATATCCTACAACATGCAAAAAAATACTAAGTATTAAAATGTATTATTTTTTTTGTAATAACTAAAATTAATCATAAAACGTTCATTAAGTTTAATTAATTAAAAAATATATTTTATCACATAAGTTAATTTTCTTCTAAACTACATAGTAATAATATTTTCTGCTTCGAATCTCAGGAGGATGAGGAATGAAATTTTGTTAGCCTAGTTAATTATTAGTTTGTCTTAGCAATTATGAAGGCTGCAACTTACAAAGAACGTAACTCAGGTCTTACTTGCCAATTAAGTTGCATTTTTGTATAAAAATACTTTCTGGTATGGAATAATAATGATACGTGAATATTTAGGGTATGGTGGTTGTTGCCATTAAAAATTATGTTTTTATATTAAAAACATCGCCAATTTTTTTCTCAATTCACACAAGAATGTTTTTGTTGGTTTCAAATTTATTTTAAATGTAATAAAGCAACCTTACTTTCGAACTTTGCGTTACTTTCTGTAGATGTTAATATACAGAAAATGATTTAAAAGGTGTGAATTATGTTAAAATCAACTTTCTGGAAAATATACAGTTAGGGAGATAAAGTCAAAATTACTATCGTGTGTAAGCATTTTTTATCAAATTGATACAAAAATGCAACATTATTGTCACTGTTTTAATCACATTGCATTTTGTTTTTTACAAATGAATCACTGTTTCAAGATAAACTATATATTATCCATTTGATTAAACTTAACCTTTTATCTACTGACGGTACATATAAGTAGCAATCACTTTAAACTAATTAATTAAAGTGGTGTTTTTAAGTACCACTTTATTTAATTAGTTCTGACAAACTAAATTTCGCACCGGGAAGATTTCTTTTCTTGTATATTCTTTAATTATCAATATGGCAGCCAAAAAAATATATTATGAAAAAATTTTCAGTAGTTCATAATGCAGAGCTCTAATAAGCAGGAAATAGAGCTCTTGCCTCCCAATAAAGTGCCCCAGGTTCAAATCCCAGCGACGGCTGGCCAATACGAGTTCCGTACCCGGCTAGCACCGACCTCAGAGCTGAAGTAAAATATCCTCAGTGGTAGACGGATCATGGGTAAGAGTCCCTTTGAGGTCAGGATAATCGTGGGAATTTTTCGTGATTTTCCTCTACATATAACGCAAATGCGAATTAGTTCTATCAAAAAGTCCACCACGAGGACAAATTTCTCACACTATTTGCTTCAGGAGTTCCCTTGTCTTCTGGATTGGGTTCAAAATTACAAGACTACGGAGTTGAGCATTGGTAGACTCGTACGCTTAAGATTAGGTCGGCTATTCAATGATGGTTATAAAATAAAATATAATCAATAAGGAATTATCTCGCATATCAAAATTTAATTTCCTGAGCGTATTTTTTGCTGATATGTATTCCAATTTTTGAATTGTATATCAGATGATTACCTGGAGGCAAACTTTTTCTTTTTGTTTTTATCAAAAATAAGTAATAATTTTTACAATGAAAAATTATAGTGCAGTGATCTTTTAAACTTTACTTACAGCCCACGCCATTACTCATTTCTAATTAAAGACAAAGGTTTCCAGAGCTCTGTTCCTGTTGGTATTAAGCAAAAGAATTTGAATAATTGAATTCCATTTTTTGGCTAAATTCGATAAAAATGATTCTTAGGAAGATTTATGCCGCCTTTTTTTTACCATTTAGAGATTATTTAAAATTTATGCCACAAGGAAGTCATTAGTCACAACAGCCAATACATTGCAGTAAATGAAGTATGCGTTTATGTGTGAAAAATGTGCAAACCTTAGTGTGAATCCAATCATAAATCTTTTATTCAATCAATAAATAGTTTTCTTTTTATTGTGACAAAATTTAATGAATGATGCGAAAAAGTAAAATGACTTTCGATTGAGGAAAGCTTGTTTTACAAAATGTTCACAACATTAATTTAATTACTAGTTGCTATGGAGTTTATAGTTTTTTTTGTTGTAATTTTCCTATTTTTGACTCTTATATTAAATGAAAACTAATTTATCTAAGCACTACGCATTAGTTTTATTTAAAGAAATAAATAATCACAGTAAATGGATGGAATTTTTAATTATAAAACTTTGAACACAATTTTAATTTCAATCTTATTTTTCAATATCATAAGTGGAAAATATCATTAGAATTAATGGAAAGGATTTTAGCTAAACTAGTAGTGAAAATACTCGTATTTATGGTTAGTGATCTATTTGCATTTTAAAATGATTAGAATATATTCGTTATTGATGAGAGGGCTGCTCTCTTAAATAATGGTTAAATTCTACTAATCATTACGCTGCTTAAGTTATGCATATTTAAGAGGTTGAGAGGAGAGGTTGAGAGATTAAGAGGTTATTGCAGTTTTAAGATGTTGAACCATATTGAAAATAAAATTTAATGCAATATTAGTAAGACATTAAGTGAGTGATAGTAGCATATCATTTTAATATGCTAATAACAGTCTTAAATTATTTGTTAGAACTTGCTAGCACCAAAGCAAATTTGAATCTGATTATATTTCAACCTGATACAATTCAACGTCAACCTGAAAGTTTACTTAGGCAATCAACTGCATTTTTTCTTATTCAGCTTATAGAATAAACACTATTGTAAGAGGCACTTTTAGTTTTTGACATTTTTTAAGTTGCTCAAGAAATACTAAGAAAATTATTTAGCAATTTATGAGGTGTTTAATTCAAGCAATTTTTCTTATTTAATCATAAGGTTTCAAGCTTTCTAAGGTTTAAGGGACCGACACTAAATTGCGAAAGAAAAGAAGTGTTTTTGAACACCCTACGTCAGAAAATCACGCAATAAGCTTGTAAATTGCATAAATTACTTTGGTTGTTGTTTGCAACAAATGTATAAAATTTCGTAAATCTAGCTTACATATTTACGGAGATATGATTATTTTTACAAACTCATTTTTATTATTTTGCTGTGAATCGTATTACAGTGAACTAATAGAAAAAAATTTGATTTAAATATCTTAAAAGCGTAAAAAGTTTCAAGCAATTTTCTAAGTAGTTTTTGTACTTTTTGAAAGAGAGCAAAATTAAATATGTGAAAAAACAATGCGAGTTTTTTCACATGTTTAATTTTGTTCTTGCTGTCCGTTTATTATAAGGTAGTGTAATTTGCAATACTACATAATAAAACTTGTGGAAAACCCCCGATTATTTTGAGCTGTCTTTTAAAAAGTACATATTGTCTTTTTAAAAATAGTGCAGTCACTATTTTAAGTTACGAAAGCAGGCACAAAAACGAATTTTCTCTGAACCTACTGAACATACCTTTTTTCGACGGATTTGGATTTCTGACTCCCAAAGTATAGGGGGTAGCCGCTATCTAGGAAATTTGGCCCCAATAGTTCGGCCTGGAGAATGCTCCAAAGTTTGGAACCATTAATGTTAATTTCACCTTTTGCGCATTTCGCTATATCTCGAGAACTTTTTAAGCGAAACGGAAAATTTTTATACATAATAAAATTTGTTTATCGAAATATAATTCCATGCAAATAATAACTTTCAGTAAGTATTTATTAATTTATTTAATAATGATCGAAAAAAAACTGAATTGTAAGATATAAAATTTTTTGCATCATAATAAAGAATATAATTTTGCATTAAATTTGAGCAAAATCGGTTGAGTAGTTCCTGATAATTTGATTTCTCAAGAACTATTCCTGGTGTCCGTCAAGGTGGTTCGTTTTTTAACTCACTGTACATATACATAAGTATGTACGTATTTCTATACATATGTACTACATAGGTAAAATATGCACTACATAGGTAAATTATAACATAATAGAAGAAATATCAGTTCTCTATAGAGCTTGCTCATTTGGCTGGACTGGCGTCTAATGCTATTGTTATGCTAAATCTCCTTATTGATTTTTAATACTGAAAATTCACGTAACTGACGTCAGTTTTAATGCAGTCTTTTTCTCCTTAATTTCCTTACTGCTACTACAACTAGGCTAATAGAGATTTATGATCCATTATTGAACACTACTCACTGTAGAACTAAACAAAACGTGGCTAAAGCGCAAATATAGGTGCTGATATGGACATTCCATAGTTTCAATTGTATAAGCAACTGTTTAAAAACACTAAATAGCAATAGAAAAATAAACACGAGTAAAGTGGTCTAACCAGTACGGAAAAAAAACAAGCTTGAGTAAGAAACAAGTGTAAGGGACAATTGAACAATTTGTTGAACTGAAATCATAGTATGTCCATTTTAGTACCTTTATTTGTGCTTTACAATCACATTGTTTTTGCTTCATTCTACGTAGCACGTTTGCTTAGTACTGACCTGACTGAAGAACATGAGGTTAGGGCTCCTCCAGAAGCAGTCTTTGGGCTTTTTCCTGAGGATGGGGAGGGCATATTTGAAGATGATGTGTTCCAGAGCTAAGATGACTACGCCCACGCCTACGCCTACAAGCAGCATGATGAAGACGCCCGCCACGGCTTCAACACTTAGGGGTTCAGGTTGGTTGAAACGATGTAAACGGTCGTCGAAACAAGGCACACGTCCATACCACTTCTTCTGCAGCTGGTCAACGTATCCATACTCACTGTACTTGAGCAACAGCTGTGAGATGGAATGCTAAATACAAAAGAAATACATTGAGTTTAACTCAGATTGACGATTTATGAAGGTGACGAGTCTCATCATTGGGAATTATCAGAAAAGAGCGGTAATGTTGGAGCTTTATATTTCTGCAACTATTTTAAGTAATTTTACTTAGAAACTTCAGTTTTTATTACGAAATTCACGTATACACTTATGCTTGATTCTATCAAAAAGGCATTATTCTGTGGACTTTATTGATGGCAAAACTAATCAGACAGTATTTGAAAATAGCTGTATTTTTGTTTAATTCCGATATAAGTTGAGGTAAAAGTTTGTGGATAATTGTTTTTTAGGATTGTAGTAATATACTAAATTGATTTTTGAAAAAAGTATTTATTTATTATTTTTTTTTTAATGGCAGGCACTTGGGAGTTGTCCCATTGGCCACAGAAATGCCAAAACTGCTACTCTCTTCTCGTTACCCAGTGGACACCTGTGACGAAGCCACGGCGGTGGAGCAGCCTCGCCCACGTCACACAACCACAAGCCCACGTCACACAACCACAAACCCGTTTATAGGGTGGGTCACATTCACACAATCACACGCAAAGGAGAAAGGACATAGAACACAGAGAGAAAGAAACATCCATGCCTGAGCAGGATTCGAACCCGCGACCAGCGGCTTCGCAGTCAGGCACGCTAACCACTCGGCCACTAGGTCGGCAAAAAGTATTTATCGGTATCTGGAATATTATTTCATGGACATCGTTATAAAAGAATAAGTTTTGTCACTAATTTAGTCACTATTATGAATTTGCATTACAAAATCAGTTAGAAAATATGTGTTCGAGACGTTATATGTTTTCAGAATGTTATCACAGCACTGTTTTGTCAGTATTTTTATTTTTTGTCACTATTATAGTATTGTGTTCGAAAATCTGCGTTTTTAAAACGGTTCGGGAATGTGATTACAACCTTTCTCTCCGGAAGGAGGAATTACGGAAATAAATATTTATTATAAAATATTTGTAATTTAAAATAATTACAAGGAAATAAATGCCAGATTAACAAAACTCATAGTTCTGAAACTCACAGATCCTATAATAAAAAAAAACTCACAGTTAGAGGAAATCCTTTTTGCACACCAACAGCATAAGCATCATCGAAAATAGAACCTAGTAGATGGAGATTGCAACCAGGGTCATTTCCTTGAAAATATTTAAGTACAGCTGTGTCACCTATCAACATATCCAATTGTTTATTCCTGAAATAATAAGAAACTGAATGAGACTCACGAATACAACATGAATGGCGGACTTGCTTTGTTGAATACTCTATTTTCTGATGCTGAAAGGCATAAAGGTCATAGTTTCTTTCATCGTTTAGGATTCGGCGAAAAAGCATGAAAATTTTGCTGATATATTACAACATTGGTAACAAAATGCCAAAATTAAAAAGTATGCTCAATCTCAAATATAAAATTCTTTTTGTTTCATATTTCAAATGAAAGAAGAAAAAGTATAATTCACAAAACAATTGTAACTAATTATTATCAAGATGATTTTCTAGAAAATAACCTTAGTTCTGCCTTGCTACTGCATAGATAGTGGAAACCAGACCTGATTTCACTAGATTTACCTTCTTCGACCACCACCATTTCTTTGGCTATCAAGGTTTCCTTTGTTTTTTTTTCAGTTAATTTTCCTTCCATTTTTTACTAGCAAATGCCCTTTTTCATGCTTCTGACTTGTTATTATTCACATGGCATTGTCCTGGCGAAGAGCATCGTTTCGAGGACTCGAAACATATCAGTTTTTTTTTATATCAAATGCAAAGCCAAAAATTCTTTTTTGTTTTCAAGTTTGTATTAATAAAAATATATATATATATAATAAATTCAGGATATATTCTACTTTTCCCTTGGTTATTTTCTTTTTTTCATTCCATTTTAACGACAAATACTAATAAGAAATTTAAGTTTTACCTGAGTTTTTCGAGACCTTTCTGAAGAGAGTCCACTCCGTATTGCTGAATGTGCTGCCACAGTTCGGGATTCTCCTTATATACATAGAACTCGGCTGCACTACCTCTGGCAGTTCCCGTTTTATAGCTATAAAGCTGCAAACAGATATCACAAAAGAAATCATGGAACAACACATTCGCAAAAATGAGCAATGGGTATTTTCTTTAAAAGTTTCGATTCCTTTAGAGAAATAAAAGTGGAACTTACTTGAACATCGTGGAAGTCATCAACTCTTAAGTGAAAGAAGAGTCCAGCGAACAAAGCGGCTATGTTCGCAGTGTATGACGCAAGGAAGATGACGCTGAAGCACCCCCAGATGTTGATAAGCACTTTATTGGGCCAAGACTTGGGAGCCTTGAAAGCGACTAAATGCGAAAAAAGAAGCGACCACATCACCCACAGGGCAGAGGCTAGACTAAAGTTTTTCGTTCTCTGGCGACCCCATGGATTGAGGCCGAAAGGACTCAGCCATTCGTAGATAGCTGCGGCAATGGCTGTAGCAGTGAGTCCGCCGAAAATGGCGACCCACAGTTGTATGCTAAATGGCACCAGGAAAGCCGATAGCTGTAAAAGAAAATAATAGAATATTTTAGATGTTAGTTAGGTGTTAATTAATAAACCAAATCGAATTGAAAGGTTTTTGCAAGAAGCTTACTCTTTGGCATTCTGACAAAATCAGGAACAACATAATTGCGAAAAAATGTATCTGCTTAATCACCTGATGGCACTGTTAAATTCAGGCTTTTATAAGGGTATCGAAAATCAACTGTTTCACGGTTTGTAACGAATACCATAATAGATTTTAATCAAGTCATCAGGATACAAATTTATTGTTTCCAGTTATTGTAGACAACACTAGGGAGCAATTTTTTTAATGTTTTTTGATGCATGTGATTTTTTTAACAAATCTGAGATACTTTTGTATCACTAATTTCAAGTCTGATATCGGTGTCTCTCACGAAACTTTTTTTAAAAAAATTATATTTCAGCCTAATTTTGTCAAAATGTACAAATTTAAAAGCGTTATATATAGCAGGGGTTAGCATAAATGTGGCGAAAGATTTCTGGGGAAGCTAGGGACATCAGTAGAATTAAGATTGCATAGAAATCCATGCGTACAACTGTCATCATACACCGTTAGGGGTGCTGCCCTGTTTTGAACTGTTTCTTCGTGAGGTTCTCAATAGACCATAACAAGGAAGAGCGTCCCTTGCCTGACGATAACCATATTTCCGTGCATGGACTTATATGCAATTTTAGTCCTGATAATATGCTCTAACTCCCGTAAAAGTTTGTCGCAAAATTTATGCGAATCTTTGTTATATATTACACTTTTAAACTTGTACATTTCGACCAAAAATAAACTAAAAATGTGATTTTTTGAAAAAAAATCTGTTGTTTTAGGAGCAAAACGATATTCAGATTTGGAATCCCATTAACGGATTCAGGCAGTATCATGTACTTGCAGCAAAAATTTGTTTCACAATGTAATGTAACCAAATACAGCTTCTGAAAATATCTATTTTATCGGTAAAACAATTTTAATAGTTATTTTTTATTACAACCAACTTTCGATGCTTCGCGATTTTACACTAAATTTCCATCAAATAGTTGTTTGCAAACACCCGTTTAATAACTTAACTCATTAATAATTAGAAAACGATATAATCCAGTCACTTACCGGCACCACTCTATATTGGGACGAGGTGAGACAAGACACACCAGAGTGGAAATAAGGGACGGAAAAATCGATGACCGTTTGCCGGGCACTGGTCATACTGAAGGCGGTGAATGTCATATGGGCAGCACCAGAAATCAGATCAGCAGTTATTCCATTCCATCGGTATCCCCGGTTTGTGCCGAAGAAGCCGTCTGCTACTAAGTACATGTCAAACTCAAATCCTAGATCTCTGGACAAAGCTAGAAGCAGAGCGATCGAAATACCTGCACAACACGTGATGTTGTACAGTACTCCTGAAAATGAGTTTTACTAGGTTAATCACCTCATTTTGTTAGTAATCACTATTTAAATTAATCATTCAACGATTATGAATCGAGAGATCATTAATCAAGATCATTCCTTATTTGGTCAAAATAGTCATTATTCAAATCAAGTTCCTACATGTCAAACTCAAATCCTAGATCTCTGGACAAAGCTAGAAGCAGAGCGGATCAAGATCATTCCTAATCTGGTCAAAATAGTCATTATTCAGATCAAGTTCCTACATAAATGGATCAAGATCATTCCTAATCTGGTCAAAATAGTCATTATTCAGATCAAGTTCTTACATAAAGGGATCAAGATCACAGGCAGTCATACTAAGATCACTACATTTTTAGTCGTATCTAGTTCATACGCCATCAGATTAAAACCATACGCAATCAGATCGAGATCATGTGCAATCATATTAAGATCATATAAAACTAGAACAAGATCATGTGTAATCATATTAAGATCATATACAATCAGATTACGATTGCATATAATCAGATAAAGATCATAAGCAATTATATTAAGATCATATATAATCAGATTAAGAACATATGCGACCATATTAAGATAATATAAAATTAGATTACTATCGTATACAATCAGATTAAGATCATGTGCAATCATATTAAGAAGACGTACAAGACTGATAGATGTTGGATTATTTACCTTCAGATCTTCCAGCCGCGTAATAATCTGCAAAGATTTCAATAATTTCTTCTTTTTCTCTGGTAGCTACTTGAAGACAAGGCACTCCGATGAGACAACTACCATTTTCTACGCGCGTTCCCGGCTTCACAAAGGGAGGAGAGTAAGCTGTCACAACGCGGAATCGTTGACGGCCACTCGAGGAATAGGGACGAGAAAGGGCCCCTCCGACCCTTCGCGGAACCTGGCTGCCACCCAAGGGCGCCCTCAGCCACACCACTGCATCCATGGACACTCTGGAGCCCGTCACGTTTCCGAGACGTTTCCACTTCCGGCGAGAGGTATGCACTCCAGGGACTAAATTTAAGATTTCAAATGAAGCAGGTTCGAGGCCTTCTCTAGCAACTGCGCTCTCTCTTTGGAGCTGGTGACGAATAACTCTGCAAAGGAAAAATAGTACAGCTGAAAATGTTAAAAGATTAAAGAAAGTAGTTAAAGGATACACAAAAGTACAATACATGAATACAAAAAAAGCCTGAAACAGATTGTGAATGATGTATGCCCCAACAGAAAGAAAACAGTTATAATTACACGCCTACTAAGGCCATGTCTAAAAGTCAGAGATCGCTAAAATTTTCACTTATATATCCTTTAGGATAAACCAAAGAACTTAACCAAAGAAGCTAGTCTTTTTGGTTTAGAAATAAATATTGATAAGACCAAATACTTGATAATGGATTGTAAGGGGAAAGATATGGACACGGAACTACAAATTGATGAAATGACAAAATTTGAAAGAGTTAGGGAATTTAAGTACTTGGGTTCAGTTGTCACTGAAAACAATGATATTATGTCAGAGATTAAGTGAAGACTAAATGCTTAAAATCGCAGTTATTTTGCACTTAAGAGATTGCTAACATCAAAAGTAATAACGAGGAAAACAAAGCTTCAGGTTTATAAAACTATAACCAGACCAACAATTATCTATGGATCAAAGACGCGGACTCCAACCCAGAAGGAAGAAAAAAATGCTGATTACCTGGGAAAGAGGAATTCTTAGAACTATTTTTGGACCTGTCAAAGAGGGTGTTCTGTGGAGAAGGCGATACAATTTTGAAATTGTAAGACTAACAAAGTTATTTAACGAAAAAGAACTAAACAATTATGTAAAAGCAAAGAGAATTCAATGGCTAGGACACCTTGAGAGAGAGGAAAACAGAGACACTAAGAAGATAGTCAAGGGGCAGTGCCAGGGCCAAAAGAAAAGAGGAAGGCCGGCCAAGCGATGGTTAGATGAGGTGGAGAAAGACCTTAAGATTCGAAAGGTCCGAAACTGCAAACAAAGAGCAGGAGACAGGCGACTATGGAGAAAAATTGTTAGTGAGGCCATGGTCCAACAAGGACTGTAATGCCAGGGAGTTAGTTAGTTTTTATACTCCTTAAGGGTATCTTTTTCATATAAATAGTGTTACCATGACCACGAGACCTTTACCCATTTATAAAATGGTGCAAGGAATGGCTTAATAGCGACTAGATATGACATAAAAATTAGTTTAATGTTTAGTTAAATGTCATGTTAGTCAGTTTGAAAAGTGTTCAACCATTTGAAAGTATTCTAACCACTCTTTTTCATAAAGTTCTTAACTATCTTAGGTTCTTATCTATCACTAAAAAAAGGTGAATTTTTAGACTTTTGTGGAGGAAGGGGCTTACAATAAGAGATTACACTAAAATTGGCACATTTTTAGTGGCACACTTATAATATAGATAGACTGCTCACGATGCATTAAATTTGGAAACCAGAAACTTTATCATGTGACTCGTTTCTTTGGTTCGCGATTATCCAATCAAAATGTTTGAGACCCGTTTTTCTATTTGGCGATTTTTTTTCTAAGAGCTAGCGTGATTCTTGACTTCATCGCTGCGAGAAAGAGTAGAGGGGGAAGGTTCTTTTGTCTTTCTTTTCAGAAAAGAAATATTTTGCTTTATCTTTCTTTTCAGAAGAGAAATATTTTGCTTTGTCTTTCTTTTAAAAAAAGGGACTTGATTTTTGATTTATTTTTTTCAGTTGTATGTTTTGTTGTAGGATTATATTTTTTCACTCTTCCAATATTATTTTTTTTTCATTTTTCTTATTCGATGGCACAATAACAATATCAAGATTTCATAAATAACTATATAAAACTTCAACGCAACAAAACACAATAATAAAGTATATTCAAGGATTTGAAAGATATATAAAATGACTAATTCTAAAATTAAGTTCTGAAAATTAAAATGTTCCTAAACGTACTAAATGTTCCTTTATGGTTTTAACCGATTCATCTAAATTTGGTAATCTTGTACTACTTACAAGTCATGAAATTTACTAAACTTATGCTGGGTTTTGTGTCAGGATGCAATCACATTCTTATTTATATTGGCTTGACGAGGAAGAACCTGGAACGTTCGACATGTTTCTAGACAATTCTCGTAAACTCCTTAAATATTAGTCCTATATTTTGTTGCCAAAATGATCATCAAACAACGCCAAGCAGCCAAGATTATCTCCAAGTAGTCCAAAGTATTGCCAAACTGAGTGTTCCATAAAAATATATTAGTCGTTATTTTCTCACTAAATTACGTTAGAGTTTCTGGACTCTCTTGCAAATTTTCAAATTAAATTGCTACTTAGGACCCGTCTGAGATATTTAGCCTCATAGCAAGAGAATATTTACAAAATTTTACACATATTCACAAATTCTTAACAATACGCTCATCTCTGTTAAAATGTTAAATGTATCTTACGTGTACAGTGCTTCAGTCAGCCTTTTCGTAGGTTCGGAGATGTTGTCCCAACAACTGAGATTTGTCTGATCATCACGATCTATTGCTAATCTCCAATTTCCGTCCAGATATTTAACACTTTCAGACACGATATCCATTACAGATCGAACGCTATGCCTAAAAAAACAATAAAAATTAGTTAGAAAAAGTTTAAATAATTTTGCTAATTGTAGAACTTATCAGAAGAAAGTTGTGAGTTATGTTATAGTCAATGTAGGAGCACCAAATTTAAAAAAAATATAGTAGGGGAAAGTGGGGTCAATTGTAACAGGGTACGACTGTAACAGAGCAAAAATTTCGAGTGTCGGGTTCTAGATTTGGTTCCTAGGTGGCGCACAAGGTGTATTTAATAAATCTGCATGTGCACCCCTGCTGGCAACCATTTTTATGTACTTTTGAAAGAGTTACACCATAAAAGACATTTTCACGCTACGTAAGTACTTTTTTTGATATTGGAATATTATATTGTAACAAAGTAATTTTGTTTAACCAAATAAAAATTATGAACCGAATATGTGAGTGGACACTTTAATTAACATTTAAAAAAAAGATTAGTTTTGTTAATTAACTAGCATTGTTTTTAACAAGTGACTGAAAGCAAATAATCTTATGTTTACAAACCATTACTTAACTCTTTAAGAACCACCAATAGTTTCCTATATCATTTATATTATGTTGCATGTGCATTATTTTATTTGTCACCTTTCACAGCATAAATTAAAATTTTTAACCCCTTAAAGTTAAAAGTTTAACCCTTTAGGTCTCTGCTCATTATTATTTTTACTCCTAAAATATCACTACTATTTTGATCAATAAAAAAATATATCACAACTATGATAATATGTATAATTAACTATGTTTTAGTTGAATTTATGAACTGTTACAATTGACCCCGTAAGTGGGGACAATTGTAACAAGTGCACGACTGTCAAAAATTGTTAATAACTAATATAATAACATTTAAAATAAGGTTTTTATTATTTTCTTCTAGTAGAGGATAGTCTACTTTACTCGTCTGTCAATTAATACTAATAATATATTGGATTTTTTGTTAGTTAAAAATAGTTAAGTAAAAAGTGTTACAATTGACCCCACTCTCCCCTATTAGCCATCGGTTCCTACTGAAATATATTTTCTCCTTAAAACTCGTCTTATCTAATAATCTGAGAGAAACAGTTCATTTATATTATACATAAAGCTGATCATAACTTCTTTTTTTAAAATGTAAACTTTCATGTTTTTAAATGTCACTTGTACCTTCTTTTACTAAGCTCTCAAATTAATTTCTCACATTAAAATTTTTACTTTAATTAGGGAGCTCCACTCACAAACCTCCATAATTGCTTCTCATTCATCATTGTTTTTTTTTTTATTTTTCACTTAAACGTCAATATTTTCCAAAAAAAATGCTTTTTTCTAAATCTACAATTATTGTAGCTTTATGTAAGTAGATTTCGTTAGCATTCTAATCATAACGGAATAAATGATTGCCTGGATTTGAAAAATCAGCATCTGAATTTGAAAAAAAGGTTAGTCTAAAGAAGACAGATTGTGTGACTAAATAATAAGAAATAAAGAAGTACTTGCACTTGTTGAAAAGACTTACAACAATTCAAGTAGGGAACAGTTTTTACGCTCTTTCTTAAGTTTTTTTACTTTTAAAAATTTTACTATAAATGTTATAGGCAATACGTAACTTTTCTCTCTTTTTTTTGTGGGTACATTGATTGACATGTACTCGAGTGCGTGCTTAAAAATTAAAGAAGTAAAGAATATGCGAGGGAATAATAACTTTTCTACAACAATGGACATATATAGTCAATATTTAAAGCACGAAAAGCTAGAAAAAAAAGAAAAAAAGAGCTTAAACTTGCAGTAACTACTGAAAAAATTGGAATTAGGAAACTAAGTTCACTTAAAGTTCACAAATAAAAATGGCTTTTTCTGCACGAAAATTTTGAACTATCCGTATTTGCATTTCAGCGGGCTTCAGATCGACCAACGTGTTATTTTCCCCCCTACCAGTTAGACAGTTAATAATTCTAGAACTAATTGTTGAACCTTAAAGTTTTATTCCGTTGTACCTGTAATTTTTTCTACATACCTACGTCTTATAGATAAGTCTTATAGATTTTGCGCACCTAAAGAAAAAAAAAAAAGAAATGATGAAAAATTCGCAAAAAAGTATTTCAAATTGCAATAACTTTCAAACAAATTGCAATTTCGGAAAAAAGGGCCCTACTTCAAGTTTATAAACAAATATGGCTATTTCAACGAACCAAGTTCCTACTTGCATTCATGCGACTGGAGAGCGGTCCGTTTGATGTTTTTTCTTACAAGTGTAACAGTTAATAATTTTCGAACTAATGAATGAATGCTAATTTCTTTTTATTTCAGTGTACTTCCTGTATACACACTCATAATTTCATGTTTCTAAATTTTCTAATTTTTGAGTAACGAAACAAAATGTACCATTAAGTTGAACACTCATAACAGCAGTGGCGACGTCAAGGCCCTTACGATTTTTTAGTATAGAGAGTTTTCTTAATTGTGACGGTCATTCTACGTTTGTTGCCGTTGTTGCATGCAAATTATTAGACATTTTATTCTATAAATTAAAGCTAGAGGAGTCTGCGTATAATTGAATGAAATCAAAATTAATCCAATTATTAATTGTTTGTTAAGCCATCTATGAATAATATTGACTACTTAATTAAGCAGTTGAATTTCGTTTTAAACTCGAAATTTTCGTTTTTTAAACTCTTTCGTTACGGCAGTCCACTGCGCTGAAGTGACTTCACTGAATGGTGCGCCGAGCCGCGCACCAACCCTGCACGTTGCCTATCGGTAAGCTGATATTCAGATTTTCTAACAATAACAATGCAACTTAGAATAATTAGCAAAGTTTTTAATATTTTAATTATGTAAAATAAGGCAGACAATTTTCTGCGTAACTTCAGTCCTGTGTGTAAGAGCGCTAGTTAAATACGGCGTTTTTAATGAAAGGATTAACGAATGATAATTTGAAACACGGTTGTTCTAATAATATTATCATGAACTCAATATTCGATCCGTTGAGGGCTAATCAGTTGCTTTAAACATCAAATTTATTGAAATAAAACAATTTTCAATAAATTATTCAACTATAAATACATCGGCAATTTAATGAAAAGAAGAAAAAACGTCTTTTTCGAAATATTATTTCATTTTTTCTTAGAGAGTATTTAAAAGAAAGAATTCAACGAAACTCATAAAAAATGTACGTAGTTGACTCAAAATAAATGTAAAGCATGAAATTTCAGCTATATATCAGCTATATCTATCAGTTTATATCAGTTCACATCGTAGAACCCAGGGCATAGTTTGATTTTAAGTAGATGTCATTGAAAAGTATAGGCGAAAAGAAGAAAAAAAGTTTATGTTGCTTTTATTTAAATTTGATGTCATGGAAAGAATTTGAATTATAGTGTGTTAGTCATAAAATTTACATCTTAATGTCAAGTAAAAGAGTTAAAAGATCCTATGTAAGAATGGTATCACATAATGCTAAAGTATAAAAAAATCACAACAAAAAACACTAAGGAAAGTATAAAAATATAATACATTCATTTTTTCCCATTATATTGGAGTAAAACAATTTGTAATTTGAAAACTATATTGATCTACAGTACGTAAAATAAAAAGATCGCACCCTAAATTACTTTTTTTCTAATGATCAGATTTTTCCTTAACTAAGTGCCTATTTTGATGTTTCAAGGGGGTGACCACAAATATTCTGATAAATAATGAATAATTTTTACAAATTATTTTTTGCATAGAATTATCTTTGGATAAGCAAATTTTATAATTTCGTACAGAAATTTTTTATTGGCATAAAAAATTCTCGAGATAGAGCGAAATACATAAAAAGCGAAATTAACATTAAGGGAGCTAAGCTTTCGCTTACATTGCTCTCTTGACTAAACAATAGAGCTATGTTTTCCAGATTGTTTTGATAATCAAAAATCCGAATCCATCAAAAAAAGTCATGTTTATCAAGTCAAGTCATGTTTAAAAGAACGTTTCTGTGCCTGTTACTGTAACTTAATAGTTAGTTCTAATTAATTAGCATAGAGAGGCATATTGAGAGGCACTTAGTTCGTGATAATCCGATTATTAGAACAAAAGTTATTCAAGGGGACATCTATTTTTTGTTTTGCGCACTGTACCTATCATCAAAAGGCAGTACACAGTACTGTCTATAAGGTACAGTGTTTCTTTAAAAATGTCATATTAAATAACAATAAGTAAAAAAACGATGTACATTATGGATGGATAGTAAATATTTAAATGAGAAAAAAAAACGCTATCAAAATCTTTCGAACCACTAGTGATGAAGGCTAAACTAAAACATCCTTTTTGTTTCAGAACCATCTTCAGTCCTCCAGAAGTTAAACCTGTTTGGTTTCCGGAGAATACTGAGGGGATTTTGGAAATACCTCAAAATTCTTTAAGCATAATATGCTAGTTTTGATATTTTTCATCCGGCCTTTTTTGCTAGTACTTGACAGCTTTCAATTTTGTTTTGATTCCCAGTTTGGAGATTTCTCAAATAGCATAAATATGTACTGAAATATAATAATAACGTAAATTGTTGAAAAAGCTTTTAAATTAAATTAAGGAAAAAACCAGATTAACTGTAGTTTAACTCCGCAATTTTAGATTAAAATTGCTTTCAATAGTAATGAAAGTAATTGATAGTATTGAGAATTTGTACTGTTGAATTGTCTCAATTCAATAGTATTGACAAAATATTTTAAAAGCAAATTTTCAAATGCTTGTTTTCTCTAATTTCCCGAGTTACCTCAAAAATTGTAATGATACAGTGCAGTATTTAGTTGCTAGGCAACGGATTTCGATTTACATAGCTTTTAAAATTTTGCACTATCTAGTAGACATCTTTTTAACTAAAGAATAAGCGCAGGTTTTTTGAAGTGAATTTACGAAATATTGATCTTATGTAGTAATAAAGAGATAAATTTGTTTCAATCAGTCTTCATAAATATTGAAATTAATAGACTACTTACAAGTGTATATTGTATGAAAACTTTCCAGAAATGAAAACTGTAATATTTTCATAAATATCTTTGATGTCAGTGAATGCAA